TGGTTACCTTAATATTGAATAATTATTTTAGTAAAAATTGGAAAAAAATGAGATGTCAGTTGTGTAAAATTCAATCAAAATCCATTCTATTGGAACTGTATTAGATTTCTATGAAACCTGTACAAGTTTGTGATTGTAAAAAGCTGTTGAAAAGATTTTTTAATTTTTGTTAATACAGAATTTTGTTAATACAAGATTTCTTCCAATATGAATATTGAAAGAATAAACAGATTCATACCAAAAATGGAGTTAAAAGTTTTTTTTATAGAAATGTCCCTCAGAAAGCTCTGGGTTTGAAACGAATGGGATTTTTCCTTACATTTTAATCTATTTTTCTTATTTTTTGCCGATATATGAGCCAAAGAAGACAACTCTAAATGATTTTACGATGAAAGTTCTCCAAGGAAATTTCTCTCAGATAATTTGTATGAACGGATTCTTTTAACTCTATTTTTGGTATGAATCTATTTATTCTTTCAATATTCATATTGGAACAAATCTTGTATTAACAAAAATTAAAAAATCTCTTCAACAGTTTTTTTCAATTAATTTGCTGCCGAAATATTCCATTCAGAGTAATTTATTCAACGGAATTTTATGCGGAAGTTAATAGAGGGAGAATTGATTAATTGATATTTTTGAACAATGCAAAATGCAGCAAGAAAAATATGCATATTTTTCGTTCAAAAATTCAAATTTTTGCGCGTTGACTGACATAACGATTCCCCCACTCTGACCCAAGCGTCGTGGTCTCGCCCCTCCGACTACCTGCACGGTACAATAGGACCCCTTATTTTATAGTCATTGGCCTAATTGAGGTTGGGAGCTAGGTGAGCCGATTGAGCGCACTTTGCCCATGCCTGGTCTACGGAATAAGAATTTTTATGATAGGGTTTACATCGGGCAGAAAGGAAAAGGTAGAGGAAAATGCAAGCATTTCGAAGAACGTGCAAATGATCAGAGAAAGATTTTTATGATGGGGTTTTTAGAAGGGAAAAATATTTCGAAGAGGGAAAATTGAGTTGGCAATGCGTAGCGCCCACCTTTGTCCCAGAGTCCGGATATTTAAGGGCAATAGCTTTTTATTACGCTGCCTATTCTGATCATCTTTAGTTTACTTGATTTGTTCCCATGGGTTGTGTTAATTTAACTTAGTTCTCAATTAATTCTAATTCTTAATTCTATTATCTACAGAGTTCGAAGGGTTTGCGCGACATTTTGGGCGGTGATTTGAATCATTCCCGCGGGAATGCTTCACTAAGGATAATTATTTGCGGGAATTATATCACTAGGTACTCTACACAACAGTGTTTTCTGGAGTACAGCCGTACTGGTATCGTACCTGCACCGTACTACCGCGAGATGGCGACGTACGCTCATACGAGTATGATACTAGTATCCTATGCGTACGTCGTACCGCTCCAAGCCTGTACGAAATGCGGTACTCAAAACAGCAGTATCCTATTAGCCGCAAAAAAACTATTTTTGAACAAAAAAACTTATAGAATCGTTTGTAATCCCTTAGCAGGTTATTGTACACCCGTTTTTAACGTTTAAGAGTTGATTATTCTTTTTTAATTCATTAATCAAAATAACCCGTGAAATTAGCCGACAAAATTTGAAAAATTAATTATTTCGAGTTTTTTTTTTATTCGATTCTAAATCGTTTGTAGAATCCGAGTCTGTAATTATTATCGTTTAAGAGTGCATATTTTTTTATGAATAATATATTTTTCTCAGTACCATTTGACATAGGCTCCCCCCTCCCCCTCTGTAGTATATTAGCCGACAAAGGTTAAGACTAATAGAGTATCTCAATTTTGTCTTCTTACTATTAATGGCAAATCGTTTGTAGAATGTAAATATCAGTTTTTTATCGTTTAAGAGCGAATTTTCCCCTTTTTACAATATTGGTTATGCTAATCATTCGTAAGTCCCTTTTGTGGCTATTTGCTTTTCGAGCTCGTATATAGGTGCAACAGTATTGCGACAAGGATTTGGCATTATCAAAAATCACTTTGGCGTTTGTATTTCTCAAGATAATCAAAGATTGCGCCTACTGATGATTGAATCGGTTTTTCGAATTCACGAATTACAATAAGGGATCGGACTCAAAATTCTGCAACATTATACAATAACATTGGGCAAAACAAGGTGCATGAAATCTTTTGATTACCTAAAAAGTGACACGGGATAATAAAATACTTACTGAATAAGTAAATTGAAATCTTTGGTGATTAAGTTACTGGTAAGTGTTTTTTTTTAAATAATATACATTCTGAATTATCGTTTGAGGTAATTTTTTATGTCATTAGGCCCAATAGTCCTAACCTCACTTTGCTCGGTTAGTTCTCGTTTTTTGGGCAAAATGAGATAAAATGTATGTCACACGGCAATATAAGTATTATTCGCCGAAGTCGATGATAATTCTCGCCTTCGACTTGGGTTATCAAACCACATTCACCAAATAATACTTTTATCGCCTAGTATCATAAATTACTGTCATTATACAAGCTCCAATAAAAAATTATTCTCATGCAATATGTCAAATATCTTTTGTACTCCAGGTGTGATTGAATAGCCGTTTTGTGATTCATTTTCCAGCAGACTATTTTTACTCTCATATGACGATTGGGATAATGAAAATGCAACAATGGCCAAGAAAAAAAAACATCAAAGAACTAGTTGCAGAGAGATGCATTTCTCCATTATTATCCATTGGGTCACATGTTAGCTGAAGGAATGACGTAGCATCTTGACTGACAGTTTGATTGGAAACATGGTGAGAAGAGTTTTGAGTAAAAGTACTGATGCCATCAATATGAGCATTTTCATCGATAACCAGCTATGAAGACTGAAGCACAGAAGTAAGGTACCCACTTTCCTAGTTAAATCTCTTGTTAATAATATTATGGGGCTGGCGAAATTGGACTTGGATCAATTAGTTGATGAAGAGAATAGAAGTCGCCCATTTCTGATCTCTCTAAGCCATTGCAGAGATTTTTTTTTCCTGGATCAAGTACTTGGAGAGGAGGTTAAGAAAGAGACTTGAAGTCATTGATTGGAAGCTTCCAGAGCAATCTAAATTAGAGCTCTTCTTATTTTGCATAACTCTACTCATGGGAGAAGTATTTCTGTTGTAATAATTAGATGATTGCTCAGCCCCATCGGTAGTTATTTGGGTAGAATTTTTTTCTTATTGCGTTTATATCTTCGATATATCTGTGAAAAATGTCGGAAGGCCTTTTTTTTGTATAATATCATATGAATTCTGAAAAAAAACTCTAGTTATTTACGTCAACAAGTTCTAGTATTAATTTCTGACATCCTTTAACCTGAATTTCTGCCTAATGTCATAAATCATCTGATAATCGTTTCTGCTGAAAGCAAACTCCAACAAACATTTCATTATAAAAAATTTGATTTCTCTTAAGTAATCTTGTAGCTATTTCCTAGACCATCTCCCTCTGTAGATGCTTGCGAGATAAGGCAGAATGGAATAAGAAACACTTTTGAGCTTAGTTTTATTATGCATTCAACAGCCAATTCATTAACTGAAGTCAACCTAAACTTGTAACAACGGAGAAAGGGTAAATTTTAATTTTATAAATTTCTTTCCTACATTGCATTCAAAGAGATTTTATAATTATCAGCGGTATTCAATTTTTTTCAATAGGATGTCTACATAAGTTCGTGCTCCTCTCGACAATCATGCTCCCTGCTTATGCTTCTCTCGAGAGCTCGATAACACCTGTGCTCATTGATCCTAATGATGATGATTCTTCACTCAAAAATCTACATCACCCTCGTGGTCACCCTCGGTAATGTTATTTTATGTGAGTCTCGTTCAACATTTGTGAAGTGTTAAACTAGTGTTAGGACTGATGAGGATGGCAGTCGATGGATATGTGAAGGTATAATATTACATGCATGTTGTTCCCATTCAATAACGAGATGGCATTTAGTTTCTGGTGAATACCGTCTTCTCTGAGTAAGATGAATGAATTTAGAAGAAGACCTTAAAGTCTTATAATATCTTATGAGAATTTTCTTTATAATATATGGATACTAACGAATCGTACGTTCAATGTAACCAAAGAAGTTTCCTCGAAAATCCTCGGAGTCACCATTAGTGACTGTTTTGAGATGTAATATTCTTGTCAAAAAAATATATTCAGTAGTTTCAAAAAGTTTGGACTTCGTGTGCAAGCAAAAGATATATTTTCTAACACAGCCGCTACATATCCCTTATAACATTAAATGAGATTGCCAGATGACGTTTTTTATCTTCTATTTTTTTGTCACTACCGTTTTTGGTAGCTAAAGGAAGCCTGAAGTCCGATGAAAATGTTTATCTTTCTTTTAAGGCTCAAATATTTGTAAAAAAAACTGGCTAAACCTGATTGAAGGCACTGAAGTGCTAAACATCATATGGTTCTACATGGTTTCTCAATTTGTTTTTAATTTTTCGGTTTTATAGTTTTCGTCGACAAGCTTTGGCGAGATTCATGATGACGAAAGAAACTGTTCGAATCTAACAACTCGAATATTACCAAGTCTATCAGCAAGAATAAATCTGTCCAAAACAAATGATTTAATTGCGGTTCAAATCCCGAAGGTAATACCCTCCTATTAATATTTTCGTATGGAACTGACGCTTTTTTTTTTATTTGAAGCACAATGCGTTCGTAATACTGTTCATTCAGCCAAATATTGTATGGCAACATGACTTCCGACTTTTTTTTTATTCTTTCTAATACTACATTCAATGTCGCACCGCGTGATAGATCATTTTGGACTCAAATTTTTTTATTCCATTTCATTATGTTCCCAAGATTCTATAGTTACAAGAATTTCAAAATAATTTTACGTGCAAATTTTTAAAAAATTACGGTTTTTTTTCCCTCAATTGCATAACAAAACTTCAGAGTTGAAGCATGGCATACTTTCGCAGTCACTTATCGATGCCGAAAATATCGTCATGGACTGAAGATTCAAAATCTACACTATATGTTGTTGAGTACATGCTAACTACATGTTACAATTGATTCGATTATATTCAAAATACACGTACACAATCTACAAGTAACTGAGCCAGTTTCTCACTCATTTCCTTCAACCTAATAATTTTTTCAGACAATTTTAATTTATTCTCGATGTTTGGGGACAAGTATTCGAAGAATACCCTTGCCATATTTAGTGAAATGTTTCATATACATTTTTTTTAGAAATAAAAAAAGACTTAATTTGTTTACAGAGTTGCCCTGACGATGAGGTCTAGGGACCTTCGTAGAGATGAGCTATTGCACACCGACCAGCTTGATGTGAACCCGAAAACCATCCAATTATTCCCATATCAAATTGGATGGTAACTATGAAGAATGTTTAAATTTGTAAAATAATCTTATGTGATTTTGAATCAGCCAGAAGTGGACCGCGGATGCTTGCTCTTCCACATTTTTATCTCAACAAGCAGATAGACTATACCGGTTCTGGACATAGGGATCTGTGGGGGGGTGCAGGGCGGCGGCGGGCGGGTGAGGTTGCGGGGGAGGGCATTGCTGGAATCTGCTAGGCCCTCGGTCGGTAATTGGGGGAATCTTCTGTATCGGCCCCCACGTTGGTAATGTTCGGCTCCATTTGGCCCAGAATGCGGGGGGGGGGATATGCACCATGTGATATCTGACATTGAATATCCGCCATATGATATCTGATATCTAATATCTAGTATTTGATTCCTAATATCTCATTTCTGATGTCTAATATCTAATATGTCATAGCTGACAATCGTAGTTGTAACAATTTTCAGACGTTCTGTTGGCGGTGCATTTTTTTTTTCTTCTTTGATTC